ATGTATGTGGATGTTTTTGTTCAGTGCCTTGAGATAACTTATGTGACTTGGCACTATATAAATAAACTGAATTGAAATGCCCATGAACCATATGTTTGTGCAAACAAAGAGTGCTGGCAGGCTGCAGCTGGCTGCAAGGACACCCACTGAACTACAATTAACTCTGCTGAGCTGAGAATGTTCTAAAAGCGAGCATATAAGTGTTCGCGGCTCATTTCTGTGACTTGTCTTCATGTGGATATGAATGTTTGTGTATGTAACCGGTCCTGAAATCTGCCCTTGCAAGTAAAATGTCTGTTAAAATCTTCGCCTGCTGCAAGTTGTGGTTCTTTTGAGTAAATAATGTTAGAGAACGAGATAATTTCTTCAACAGTGTCCATTTTTTTAAAGTCTTCAGTTGATCCAAAATGCTGCTGCCAGAGTTTTAACGAGTCGGTAGGAGAAATAATGTTTCTCCAGTTTTTGCTTCTCTCCTTGGCTCCCTGTCAAATTCAAGGATAGAATTCAAAATCTTACTTCTAACCTACAAATCTCTCAACAACCTGGCTCCATCTTATATTACAGATCTTATTGTTCCATATTTTCCTAACAGACACTCAGGCCGCAGGTTTACTGGAGGTTCCTAGAGTTTCCAAAAGCAGAATGGGAGAAGATCTTTCATTTATCAGACTCCTCCCTTGTGGAACCAACTTCTAGTTTCTGTCCGTGAGGCTGACACACTGTCTACTTTTAAAAATAGGTTTAACTCTATTGATAAATCCTATAGTTAGGGTTGGCTTGGGTTTCCGGCACTATCCAGGATTAGACTAATGGAGGATCAATTGACCACCTTTCGTCGCTCTGCTGCTTTCTTTACTTGCTCTACTCTGTAATTATTTCTATCCTTAGCATGTTTTCTTTCCTCCTATAGAAAGTACAGTAAACCTGCAGTTCTTTCACTTTTTACTAAAAGCACTAAGGATTTTTGACACCAGTTTAATGCTTCTTAAAAAAATATATTTTCTCTGTCAGCCTGAAAACAATGAATGTTTTTAATTCTAAAAAAAATAAAAAGTGAGTCATGGGAGGTAGCGACAATAAAAGCTTCAAAGATTAAGAATAAAAAGTAGTTTTTGAGTGAAAAAGTTTTAATTTGAGAATCACAAATAGCAAGTTGAATAGAAAAGTGAGGTATTTCACAATTTAGACATTATTCACTCAACTGTATTTACAAGAGTATAGATTCAGCTGATACAAAACGCACAAGAAATACATAAAGTAAAAGATGTTATAAGACAATGTTCTTTGTCATTCATCAAGCTAAAGTTTACAAAACACATAAAAAACTCTTTCTGTAAAGAGTTTAGACTGAAGTGCCTGTGCAACGTAAACGGCAACTGATGAAGTTTCTCCTCAAAACACACAAATATAATTTATTTCAAAACTTGTCTGTAAATTCAAAAACACTATAGCAAATGGCCGCCCCCTCTGTCAGTCTGACAAATAATCTTAGACATGTTTCTCACTGTAGAAGACTGAAAGCAAAGAGTCAATAAATCCAAATGCGTTATAGTTGCATATTATGTGTAATGATTTGTTATATATGTTTACCATAAAAAAAGTCTGACTAAATGTATAAAAAAATACTCAACTGAGAAGAGTAATGGTATTTACATCAGCTCCTTGCGAGAGTTGTGAAAACACTGAAAACTAAGAACGATAACTCCGGTTGATGATTGAAATTAGACGGAGGAGGAATTCCCTTTCACGTGAATAAAAACGTGTTAGCTGATCAAACGCTCCGTGCTCTCCGCGGTTACTGTCAGGACTTCAGGAGCGCCACACCAATCAGCCCAACAACAGTCGGCTCAGAAACCTAAGCTATAAGGTTCCTCCTTTAGCTTCAGGAGAAAACAAGGTGGACATGGCTCTCCTACGCCTCGTTCTTTAAGAGCAATAATAAAGACGGCGTGCATCCAGGAGACTCAAAGCGAGCAGAGGAAATCCTTCAAGCCTCCCTTCTTGCTGCTCTGGCTGTCCTCTCGCAGGAGAATCTTGCTGAGACGCTGGACGACCGAGGTTTTGGTTTTTGTGGAAGACTTGGAGGAAGTGGAGCTCGATGCTGAAACATTGTAAGAAACGGAGGATCTGCAGGGAGCAATCAAACAAAAAAAAAAAAAGATTAGATAGAAAAAAATGTTGCGCAACAAACACGCAAGCCATATTTTTTACATTTACAACTATTTTGCAGCTCACATCTGCAGCATCTGTTGCGTTTAGCCAGGCGAGGTTGTACTGAGGTAAAAGAGCAGCACGTGGATACTCACCTGGGTGTGCTAGTGGGAGTCTTGTTTGTTCCAGGAGGCCTGGGAGTCGTCGTGTTAGACTTGATGCTGGACTGAGGAGTCTTGTGCTTGCCGGCGCTCCCTGGAGTGCAGTGGGTTTTAGCGAAGGTAGACAGAAAATCCCTGTTCACGCCTTTGTGTCTGGTTGTCTTGCTGCAGGCGTGGCAGGTGGCCATCTGGGAGAATAACAAAAGTAATGTCTCAGTATGGATTCTCATTATGAAGATTTTGTTAGCGCAGCAGATTGACGCCTGGAGCACAGCAAAGTGCTCTGTGATGACACTGACACAGTCCGGCCACATCCACTGTGATCTCACAGCTGAGAAACAGATTACAATACAGTCCAGGAGAGAAAAATATCCACAGAGCTGACAGCTGAGGATTTCTTATGGCCTTGCCAAACATAATAATACCTTTCAGCATTTTTCACAGATGTGAAAATAGCTGTGAAAAGGCGAGATGTGGCTGTTGCTGTGCAGTTCTGCCTATTCTCAGTGAGGAATCACCAGTCAGCTTTGCAAGGTTAATACTATTATCTTTTTTTTTTTTACTGAAGCAGCTGGACATCTCAGTTATATCTACTCCCGCTCAACAAATTTAAAACGGTTTCTCAAATAGATCATTCATGCAAAACAATCATCTCTGAGCAAAGAAAACATTCAGTCACTCGTCAGAATTACAATTTGTTACTCTTCCGTCTATATACATCCTGACAATTCACGGGGAATAACCAAAATTCCTACTTTCCACTTGTTAAACTTCAACAGATCACTTAGTGCAAGAAAGGAAAACAGTGCATTTGCTGACAGATCTATAAACAATGAGTAAAAAAAATATGAACTAATAAGAAATAACAGGAACAGTACAGTAAAATAACTCCGTGTGACGATGCAGCAGTCAGTTCTAAAAACGACATGTTTACAAGAAATCAGTTTTTTTCTCAATTTCAGTCTTGGATCAACAAATCATTAAAACTAGGACTATAGATTTTTGTTATTCCGACCGCCTGCTTGTATAAGAAAAGCTGCCAGGTTTGCTTTGCATTTAAAATCTGATCCAACAGCAGAGAAACAAGTTTATCTTTCCTCCCTGAGGCAAAGTTGTTGCATTTAACTTCAATTTAATGTTGAGTCACCAATTCTTCAGACTTCCAGTGACTTCAGTCCCATTAGGAGATCCAAATGAGGACCAGGTTAAAACTGGTTAGAACAGACCATGGGTCATCAGCTCTGAACAGAGCCGATGAGATGCCGAACTTACAGACACGAACGTAGCCATCTCAGACTCCGACAGGTGGCTGAAGTGTTGGAAGAGTTGAGTTCCGATGAGTCGGGAGCAAAGAGTTCAAACTATCACTTAATCTGACGGAGCTTGAAGAGTTTACTGCACGAGTCTGCACGTGGCTTATAAAGGCCGAGCCCCGCAGCTGATCCACCCCTCAGTCCACAGAGGTGTGGCTCAGAGGACGACTGACCAATGCTGAGCAGAATGGGCCGTCTGATAAACACAAACACGTGACATTAAAGACTTTATATTGGGTCCACATGCAAACATCTTCTTTTAATGGAATATTGAGCCTTTTTCAAAAACAAGGTAAGAAATTATTCTTTCAGTTCAGCACAAACATGTCAAACATAAAAAGCTGGTGGAGGACCAACTCAAAAACTACCTCCTTTTAAAGGTCAACAGGTCAAAGAATGACTTTAACTGGTGCTCAAATCAAAAATAAAGCTCATTCATCATCAACAAGAGAGGAAAAAATAACAGATTGTTTGAAAATGTCATTTCACTTTCCGAGTTACTATAATTAAATTAGAGCTATAAACAAATTGTCTGTATAAAAAGTAATCCAGGCTTCTATATGAGCAAATGAAGCAGGAAACACTCGGCAATAAACTCCTTTTCATCAAACTTATCTTCACACAGTCATCCTTCTAAACTTAGCAAAGCCCAAACCGATAGAGATCCCAGTGGTGTCATATAAATAAACGGATCACAGCTGATGATTCAGATCAAGCTGGGAATTTATTCCATATTATTCAGGGACATGGGATCTGAAGTAAAAAAATAATAATCAGATTAATAGTTAAAAACGGGGCAAATGATGTTATAGAGACACTTCTTTCTAGTTGTATATAGATATATTTTATTGAAAAGTGTAAAATGAAGGCATTTACACAGCAGAGTGAAGAGTCAGTCCTGCTATAAAAACAGGCCTTAAAACTGGGCTATTCAACTGGTGGCCCGAGGGCCAAATCAGGCCCACAAGTGTGCTCACTTTGGCCCACCAATGGGCTTATTTTTAAATAAAATTGATCTTAAATCATATACCTTACTCATCAAGAATAACTTCTGGATGTCTGGCCCCTGAGCTCTTGGCTTTCAGTAACTGTGGCCCCCTGAGCAGTTCAGTTGAAAAGACCTGCCCTAAAATTAACATCGAGTGTGTGAAGCAGTCGGTAAAACATGCACATCTGGAGCAAAATTTGCAGACAAGAGTTTTCCTGTACAACATCATAAAATAAGTAACAAAACGACAGAATCAGATAACGAGAAAATGCAGTAATACAAAAACTAAATATTCAATCTGTGGGAGGTTTATTTTTTTGCTTCTCAGAGCTTCTACAGCGAAACAAATATTTTATGACAAGTAGGAGTGACAGATGCTTCGAAAGGAGACTGGTGCTGACATAAACTTTTCATTTAGGCTCATCTGATGATTATCAAAGTTACTGAGGCAGCTTTAACTGCAAAAGCAACAAATAAATAAATAAATATTTGGCATCGTAAAAAGCAAGCACATCTGTCACCAACTTCAGCTCTGCAGTCTGCTGTGCATCCTACAAACACAAACCAACAGATATTTAACACGTTTTAAAGAAACGATCCGCGTCCAGGAACGGACATGAATCACTCCAACATTCACTACATTTCTGCAAGACTGAAAAAACTAAATGTTTTCTTTGTTTCCAGTACTGCAGCCTTCACTGTCACTCCTACTGTAAGTGATTATTGTTGTGGAGATGATGGTAAGAGTTTAGATTTACTGGATGAACTGGATGACTTTCAAATGGTTGCTGGGAAATGTAGATTGGCTCATGATGCCGTGTGTGTGTGTGTGTGTGTGTGTGTGTGTGTGTGTGTGTGTGTGTGGCTAGTCGATGAAAACACACAGCTGGATACAGGCTGATTACAGCTAGCCTGACCTCACACTGTTTCTCCTCTAGGCTTCAGCACTTACAGGTTTACATTAAAGCACAAACTTGACCGCTAGAGAAGAGAAACCTCCACAGACAGGTCGAGTAAAATGATCTTATCACACAACTACACTATGAAAGCAACAGCTAAATGCTCTGTGCTGTCAAACTCAGAATTTAATTCAAAATCTTACTTCTAACCTACAAAGCCCTCAACAACCTAGCTCCATCTTATATTCGAGATCGTATTGTTCCATATTTTCCTAACAGAGAATTTCACTCTCAGACTGCAGGCTTACTTGTGGTTCCTAGAGTTTCCAAGAGCAGAATGGGAGGAAGATCTTTCAGTTATCAGGCTCCTCTCTTGTGGAACCAACTTCCAGTTTCTGTCCATGAGGCTGACACATTGTCCAGTTTGAAGACTGGGTTTAAGACTTTCCTTTTGAATAAATCCTATAGTTAGGGTTGGTTTTAGAGCTATAATTTCTAACTTGAACCCAAAACCCAACCCGGACTGACCTGGATTAGGGCCGGGCTGTTATAATATGATTAGTGGGCGGGCTGGGCCGGTCTCGGGCTTTTAATTAGGTCAGGATCAGCCACAGTCTAATTATATGATAACATGGCCTGCCATACTCCACCAGCCACATACGGCCATTTCACCACGAGCTGACCGGACTTGAAAGAGGTAAAAAGTTCAGTTAAGCTTCAGATGGGACTGCACTGCCAGGCCGCGAGCCATCGCCCAAATGTACGTTCATTCTGCCGCTGCACTCAGCGGACGCGTGCGGCCGACGACTCAAACAGGTGAGATCCCAAAGCAGACGCGTGTCAGAGCGGTCCGCGTATCTCAGTAATTCAGACGAATACAGGCAGAAACAGGGTTTAAATGCTTTTTTATGGCCATGAAATGACAAACACCTTCAGCTTCGAATCTTCTGCCGCTTTTATTCAGCTGCGTGTCCCCGACTGTAAAATAACTAATTAAAAATGGAGAGTTTTTTCCGGGTTCGGACCTGTAATTACTGTTAATTCGTCGGGTCGGGTGGAGTTCGGAAATTATGACTGAGGGCTGGGGCCAGGTCGGATCAGATTTTTTGGGCCTGAATGTAACTCTAGTTGGCTTGTACAGGCTTAGACTACTGGAGGACAAATTGGCCCAATTTCTTAAAATGAATCGTTACAATTGAATAATTTTCATTTGATATTCTTTCTATCGTAACATGTGATTCTCAACCTGCCATTGTGTATCTATTCGTCCTTCCTGTCCCTTTCAAACCCAGCTAGTCGAAGCAGATTGTCTGGTTCTGCTGGAGGTTTCTTCCTCATGAGGAAGTTTTTCCTTTCCATTGTTGCCTTCGTGCTTACTCAAGACGAGTCTGCGATGATGTTAAACTCAAAGCAGTCTGCTCCTCAGATAAATAATGTTATTAACTTTTATATACCGGTATAGGAATGTTTCTGTTCAGTGCCCTGAGATGACTTCTGTTGTGACTTGGCGCTATATAAATAAACTGAATTGAATTGTTAGTGCGTAGAGGCCAGAAGGAGAGTTAACCTGAAATCCAAGCCAGAGCAGTCACATGTACCCGTTTAATTTACTCTAATCCTTTGACATGTTATGAGCCTAACTTGGAGGAACACACGTGAGCTGCTGCAGCGAAGAGATTTAATTTTTGCATCTTGGGATTATGGCAGCAAAAGAACCAGAGCAGTGGTCAATAAAGCACATGGCAAAGGTGAAACGTTAAAAGTTTTAGGTCAGAAAAGGGATAAGCAATCGCCTCAATAGAGCTAAAAGCACTAATAAGACTGTTTGTTGTAGAGCTGTTGAAAAGTTAAGTTGAAGACATGACAGACAGATGAGACCTTCTTACTCAGCAGCAGCATTCCAATATTAAATCTAACTTTTTTCACATCAGCCTTAACCCATTAAAAACTCATCTTGTGTCGTCTTCCTCTCCTAAAGGCGTACTTGT